TAGGTTGAATAGTCTATCTTGATAAAATTAAACATGATGTCTAAGTTTGATCATTGAACCAAATCTACTAAGTATAGACATGGGTATGATAAACAAAAAGTACAAACCTATAAGTAAAACTATATAAAAATATATATAATAACCTACCTCGAATGTCGTCACCAAGCAACTCGTCGCATCATTTGGCCACGAGCCAGCTTGGGGGAGGACCTCCGCAGAGGTACCCTTATATCTTTTTAATTTTCACATTTATTTTCTACATTTATTAATTATTAGCATTTTAAAAAACTAAAAATTAAAAATACCAAAAAAATAAAATATGATAAAAATATCAAAAATATGAATTCCACTCTCATATGTGTTTTAAGAATGTTTGCTTCTCCTAAGTTGAAATGATGAATTGTTGCTCTATCTATAATTCATCTGTTCCTAGGATGTAACTTAGTATTCTCTAAGATTTAAGTTTGTTAGCTAAAAATATCTCATCCTAAAAACTTGAAAACTTATGGGATGCAAATGCATGCTCCTTTTCTAAGTTGTTGCAAGTTATGATATGGTACAAATAGAATTTACTATGACTTTGTTCTAAGAGAGACTTGACATCCAGAGATTTCATTTTCAAAAACGCTAAAATTCAAAGTTCCTCAATGATTATGAATACCTACCAAGGCCATATGATATGATCCAAATTCAAAACCTTAGTCATATGCTACTTGTTATTACATTGAGCTTTGTCAAATTGTTGTGACCCTTGTTGAGATTCTCGTCATACACCCATGATCAAGACACATGTACACCCACAAATAAACTGCTGACTCTTACACTGAGAGTTACTGTTGACACTAGATATGATAAACAGATAAATCCACAAGCGCACGGATGTCAATGTAGCTTTCACCCGAAAGTATTACAAGATATCGTATTTCCACGGGGAACGCAAAGTGAACTAGAATAAGAACTAAGTTTATCCAAGGATAGAACAAGGTTAAAATAATAGGTAGAGAGGATATATGCGGTTTCTTGGAACTTAGGCAAGACTAAGGAATACTATATCACAGTTGTTAACTTCGGGGCACAGCCCGCCTAGCAACCAGGAGGGATAACTAGACAAAGTCTGCCACGAGCCTTATGATTTAATAACTAGACCTATCGTGGTGGAATACAGAGGATGGATAGGGCTGTCACCACCTACCACCTACCATAATCTATCCGGAGGCCTAGCCGTAAACATAGGCAAGCTATTGCCTAAGCACCATGTTTAATCTATAGACTCACTACTCTAATCCTGTACATGATGAAGTAAGACTAGAGTACTCTAACCAAACGGTGAAACCAGTAAACACAATAATATAAATAATACTTAAGTAATGCAATAGAGCAGAGTTACCACAGAAGATGTCGGACTTCACTCGAAGAAGAGCTTCATCCGGCGAAGCATAAGTGGAGAGGATGTCGACAACCCTGGCCCTTCTCCAAGCTTCTCCTCACTCTCTCCCTATCTTCTACTTCTAACTAGTAGAGCTACAGACCTTTGCCTAGCTACTACTCTCACTTGGAGTGATGGAATGAGATAGTGATCATTACAAATGGCATCTCACACCACTATTTATAGCTCTCCAAGGTCGGTTGCTGTGGGGGAGGTACTTATAGACGTCAAGTAAGTCGGTGGAGGTAACTTGGGCGCTGGGCGACGTGGTAGGGGCGTCGGGCAGCCCTTGATTCCACCACCTTTCGATCGTAGGGGCTTGATTAGCTCCCAAAGGCGGTTGTGATGCCAGCACGTGCCAAGATTTGATCGGTAAGGCGGTTCCAAGGTCGATTGGAGGGCTCTAAGTCTATGATAGTGGACCCATGGATCCAAGACCACTCCATCATGACTATTTGTGCAAACCGACTTAAGATCAGCGTTGGAGAAGGCTTGGAGGACCTCTTCCATCTATCGGTGATGTGGAAGGGGCAAGTGGGGCACCAGGCGGTGCCTATGTGGCACTGGCAGGAGTAGCATGTGGGCCCCTTGGCCCCCTACCACGTTCACTTGCCTCCTATGTGTGTATTTGTCACCATTTTGGCCAAATTTCCTGCATACAAATATATTTCTATGTACAAGTGGAACTAGATAAATTATAAAGCAAATCCTACACATGTGATGATGATTTTCCTAACTTTATCTTGCTTTTGGGTGAAATGTTGATGGTCAAAATAGGTGTTAGTGATCGTCAACAGTTACACAAAAACATGCTTATTTCGTCCACTAAATAATTACTCCATTCATTTATTATGAGTCTCTCAAAAATTTCATATGCCAAAAAGAATAGTATGGGCTATGCTAAAAAAATAATATATATATCCATGCCAGGAGGCATGAGAGAGAGAAAAATACATGCCAAAGAGCACGAAGAAAAAAAGAAGAAAGAAAGAAAGATAAAGATAGCCCATACTTTTAAATAAGAGGCATTCATTCAAAAGAGAGAGATTCATGATTCAAAGGAGTACCCAAAATATTTAGAATTAGGACTTCATAAAAATTCCACACACTTGCACATCTTGATCAAAGTGTATGACTTGCATTTCCTTAAGGTCCGGTCTTTGACTTAGCAAAATATGTGATGCAAGTATGCCTCAATTTCGTGCCTACCCAAAACTCCACTCAAAAGCCATTAGTGGTAGGATATGAAAAAGAAGGCAAATTTTCAAATGCCTTGGTGAGGTTTCATACACATTGAGCGATTGAGAGAATCAATTGAGGAACTTACATTTATTTTGTAAAATTCATTAAACCTCCGGATACATGGTTAATCAAGGAATGAATGATTGGTGATTCTGTTATAACCATTCTATCTTGCAACCGCCCATGAACTAGGAAAATCTATACGCCCCACAGGGATCAAGGTAAAGGGTGGATAAAAATGCCAACTTATTTGAATTGTGGAAGAATACTTTGTTATAGGCATGGCACTTATGAAATATATTTGGCATCATAGCAACTCCTGATCAACAACCAAGTACTTAGCTATTTGCTCGGGACGAGCAAAGCCTAAGCTTGGGGGATTTGTTGGTGGTCACTAATGATCAAATCCGACCGCCAATTACTATCCAAAATAAGAGAAATAAACAAACTTTTGATACATATGATTTTACTATTGACATAGTTCCACTTGTATTGGAAGAAATATGTTTTGCAGGACATACATTTGAATACAAGTGGAAAACAAAGAAAAAGGCGCAATTCAGAAAGCGTAATGTAGAAATGCGCAAAGGAATAAAAGGAGAAATCCCACCTACACGCCAAACCTAGGCCGGGCACCGACGTGGAGGCAACCGAGGCCCAGCCAGAAGCCCACCAGAGCAAGGCGGTGGCGAGCGGAGCAGAATAGGGTAGGTGCGGCTGCACTGCCGCCAACCTATCTCTGCCCCACTTCGCTCTGGCAGTTGCATAGCGGCATGCATAGGCGGTTTCCGGTGGTTTCCTAATTTATCAGCGCTGAAACCGACCTCACTCTAGTATAAATATAGTGGTGGAGCTCTCTCCCACACACAACATTTAAGCCACTACACCTCCACTTCTTTACTTGTACTCTTTTTGTTTTTAGTTACATTTGGAGCTATCAAGAGCTATCAAGGAGGGCTTGGCTCCTTGGGAGAAAAGAGAGAAAGTTTGGTATGAATACAAAGAGAATTTCTTCCAAAGTCATGCTCTCATATCATAAACATAGTAGTGCATATCAACTAGACTATAGTTTTCATGTTATAATCTTAAGGAGTCTAAATTGTCACACAAGGTTGCTGGCAGACCAGTACTCAATGGCATCCCGACCTATATTAAACTTAGTTCTAACTTTAGTCATATAACTTGTATGATCATTAACTATTTTTTGCACGACTATTTTTGACCATACCGGCTCCACTTAGGAACATTCTTTTATTCTTTGTTTTTCTTTTATCCTTGAGGTTGGCTCAGATGTGTGTCCACTATTCTTAAAATACCGGTTTTATCCCTGTCATGAACTATTGGTTTACTAGTGCAAGTATGTAATCTTGATCATATGCCATGCTAGACTCTTATAACTAGTCCTCCTTTGGGAAAATATAAATAATGATACCCTGAATACTTCGGGGTGAAATGCTACAACAATAGATCCATGCGTTTGCAGATATTTTCTGTAATTGTTAAGAACTATTGTAGTTGGTGTTTCTTGGTGATGTCACTAAGGTTTACTCAATCTTAGTGATGGTGCTAAGAAATACCAACAGGCATTTCTGGCGCCGTTACCGGGGATGAACTTGGAACCTCCATACATGGTGATTGCGCTAAGAAATGCAAAGAACAACCAGCCTCGGCCCAATAGGCCCCTGACATACTCTAACACTACACCCCACTTGGACATGCAGCTCATCCTCGAGCTAGAACCTAACCAACTTATAACGATGACTCGACTCGACACAAACCTTATTTAAAAACAAGCCTTTTACATCTCAGTTTATTTTATTGTCCTCAACCTAAAATGAACTGGGACTCTTTATTTTTGACTCCTAAACATAAGTTGGACATTATTTTTGACTCCTGAACATAAGGTGGACACCATCCGCACGTCAGACCAACGATTGTACAGCCACATGGATCCCATGGACACCATCTGGATGAAAGGGGTGCATGTGTATGGCCACCTAGAAGTGATTGCAACAGCAACCAGCGGAGGCGCCCTCACGGTAGTGGGTGGTGGAATGCGGCGGCGCTAGGCGATGCGCTCCCGCCGGTGACCCCATGCCTTCTCTTAGCCAGACGGCTGCTGATCTGTACCACACAGAGAAGAGCGAAGGGCTTTCGATGGAGAATGACAAGGAGGGGTGCGCCTCCCCAACCACTGTCGTCGCAGACTTTGAGTTCGCTGCAAGCGGGGAAAACAGCATGCTCGCCGGCCGTGGGGAAACCCATGACCAAGATCCCCGACGTAGCAGACGAGATCGAGGTCCTCCGCATGGTGAAGCGCAACTTCGAGGAGCTACGAAGGGGTGTAAGGCTGAATCAACTGAAGATCACGTATCTCCCGCACCCGCCGACACGCTAGGAGGCCACGCGCAACAGCCTGCAGCCGCACCACCGCCGACACCTGGCGGGTAAGCATCTTCCCCATCGGCGCGGTGGGGATGTCCATCGGCTGCTCAATCTGCTGCAACTTCTCGCCCTCGATTGGGATCTGCTGGGCACCGATCATGGAGACAGTTGTCGTCCCATAGCCTGGCCAGCCATAGGGGAACCCCGATGGCATGGTGGTGGTGGTGGTCGCCAATTGTCAGGTTTCCATGGTCTCTAGACGTGCCCAAAGAGATGCCAATTGCTGGACGATCTCGGAGAGGGTCTTCGTCATGACGTCGAGGGCGGTCGGTGGCACCACCGGCTGCACCTTCGGTTGGGACACGGTTTTGTCGTCGATCGCACCATCGGCAGCGGAACTTGACATCTCCGATAGCAGATGTTATGTGGCTGCTAGGGTTGAGGGGGGCGAGTTGAGGGAGCGGTGGCAACTTTTGTGCTACAGTACCCATGAGTGCCGTCCTGCCGGATGTTTGTGGCGACTGGGGCTACTAGGGAGAGAAGGGGCCGGCCGGGGGTCTTGCCCACGGCTGAGCAAGAGAGAATGGATTTTCTGATTAATTCTTGCTTGATTAGATTGGTACATCTCCTCTCCTTATATAGAATGGTTTACTTGACTCTTAAGCAAGGCTTACTTGACCCCTAAGCAAGGCTTACTTGACCCCTAAACAAGCAATCCTTATCTCTAATTAACCCTAACACTAACGGGCTATCCAGCCAGCCCAGGACCCAATAGGCCTTTGACATACTCTAATACGTTGTTTGATGTAATTGGATTCGTATCAATCCACATGTATTGAGATGAATTGGAGTAGAACTTGACACTAAACTTACGAAGGAATTTCCTAAACATATTTATGGATGGAGGTGAATCCAATAACATATCTGTCTCCTCGGAACTTCGAAGCAATTTCCTTATGTACCAAAATACATCCCGTAGGACATCAGTCTCTTGTTGTTCCAGGATCAGCCGTGTAATCCTAAGCCGAAAGCTGTAGGACGGCAATTCCTTTGTGGCACCACTTTGGTTTCTACGATCTTCTGTCGTTACTCCACGGTATATACAATCCAAAAGCAATGACTTGTAAGCACGCAGGCTGGTATAACAAGAGGACACCGTACCGCTCCGTTGCTAAAGGCTGTAAAGAGCTCGAGCAAGTCGCCGATCATGGCTGCTCACTGGATCCTACATTTGGCACTGCTCCTCTTATCCATGTCCTCTCAGCAGGTTCTCGCGGCGAGGCAGCAGGACCGTCATACCATCAGCGTCCAGTCTCTGCTGTCTAGCTCGATATGTTCTTCGGCATCTGCTGTTCCAGGTTAACTTGTGTTTTAAAGTCTCAGCTGATCATTTTAAGAAAGATTAATTAATTTGATCCTCCAGTGTCTCGTCATGGAGCAGCTGGAAGCACCCTCCAAATCGTCCACCGCGCGTGCCTGCAAACCGGCGACCACGAGACAGTGCCGGACCACCACTACACTACTGCCATCCTGCACCGAGACCGCCACCGATTCCTGTCCATCCACCGGCGCCTCACCAGGGCGGAGACCAAAGCCACCACCATCCCCGCCCGTCTCGGCCTCGCCTTCCAGAGTCTCGAGTACGTGGTCACCATCGGCATCGGAACCCCACCGCGCAACTTCACGGTCCTCTTCGACACCGGCAGCGACCTCACCTGGGTGCAGTGCCTGCCGTGCCCCGACACCTCCTGCTATCACCAGGAAGAGCCCTTGCTCGACCCGAGCAAGTCTTCCACCTACGTCAACATCTCGTGCAGCGCGCCGGAGTGCCACATCGGTGGCGCCCAGCAAACCAGCTGCGGGAGGACCTCGTGCCAGTACAGCGTCAAGTATGGCGACAAATCCGAGACTAGGGGTAGCCTTGCCGAGGAGACTTTTACTCTGTCGCCGCTAGCGCCGCCTGCCACCGGAATCGTGTTTGGGTGCAGCCATGAGTATATTTCTGGCTTCAACGACACGGACATGGGTGTCGCCGGTCTGCTTGGTCTAGGGCGGGGCGACTCGTCCATCCTCTCGCAGACACGCCAGGGCAACAGCGGCAGCGGCAGCGTGTTCTCCTACTGCCTCCCTCCACGCGGGAGCTCCACGGGATACCTCACCATCGGCGCCGCCGCTCCTCCGCAGTCGAAGCTGTCCTTCACGCCTCTGATAACCACTATCTCTCAGCTGAGCTCTGCGTACGTGGTGAGCCTCGCCGGCATCTCCGTCAACGGCGCGGCCGTGCCTATACCGGCGTCGGCTTTCTCCCTGGGGGCGATCATCGACTCCGGCACGGTGGCCACGCACATGCCGGCCGCCGCGTACTACCCGCTGCGCGACGAGTTCAGGCGCCACATGGGCGGTTACAAGATGCTGCCGGAGGGGTCCTTGGAATTGCTGGACACGTGCTACGACGTGACGGGGCAGGACGTCGTGACGGCGCCGCGGGTGGCGCTCGAGTTTGGTGGCGGCGCGAGGATCGACGTGGACGCGTCTGGGATTCTATTTGTGTTCCCGGTAGCAGATGACTCAGGGCCATCCCTGACGCTCGCGTGCTTGGCCTTCGTGCCCACGAATTCGCCGGGTCTCGTCATCGTCGGTAACATGCAGCAGAGGGCGTACAACGTCGTGTTCGATGTGGATGGAGGGAGGATTGGCTTCGGACCAAACGGATGCAGTTGAGTCATTGATTCACACACAACTGACATGCTTGATCAAGGCAGGAGGATATATAACTGCACGAAATACATACGAAATTTATGTATGTTTATTTATTCAAACGGTTTGAACTGTTGCAGCTCCTTTTTTTTTTTTGCGAGTATTTGCAGCTCCTACATACTAGCATATCACATTATCGCAGTCATGCGACTGTTCAATAAATTAAGTCTTTAAATTGGTAAATAATGTTGGATGTTTTGAAAATAAAGATAGTGTCTTTGGGGATTTGCTTTTTTTGAATGTGAATAGAAAAAAAAAGAAAAATTGTGGGAGAAGTAAAGCTAGCTTGATTATATTATTATAACAATGAAGTACACGTAATGCGTCTAAGCACACGCAACCGTGAAGACACTGCGCTGTCATTCCATATTCAAGGCCGTCCCATTCAAATTGAACCATATCATATACCATTAATTCGTGTTCCATTTGGTTCAAATTTAACCACACCATGCATTCGTCTTTTCATTTGGTTCAAGCTAGGAACCAAACACAACCTAAGACACGGCTCTATGAGCCATGTTGGTGATGCAAAGTTTTGCAGAAAGCCTCAGTAAACAGCACAAGACAATGAGCTTGTTGTCTCACGAGGATGACACCATGATGTGTGCTTCGAGGTGTACACACCAACTGAACCCACGTTGTACCGGCAAGGGATTCAGCTGCGGCGCACGCGAGTAAGCATGAAGCGCGCCAAAATCCATCCCGGCACCATATATGTGCCTCGTGCGCTCTCAAGCCGCGCGCGAGCTCTCTGTGCCTCTGCTCTGCACACCCGAGCTCTGGCCGAGCACCTGTGGCGGCGATGGATTGGAAGAAGGGGGCGGTCTTGGGTACGCAGCCATGCAGATGGGAAGCCCTCCTAGCACGGCTGCAGGCCGTGATCCAAGGAGACCATCATGATGGGTGGAGCCGTCGCCTCCGCATCAGCGGCCGAACGCGTCACCGGCGGTTGGCCGGCTTTCAGGGCAGATTTGCAGCGGAGGTTGCAAGATAGGGATAACATGCTCCTCAATCATGAGGATAGGGACGATATGCTCTTCAACTTTCCACGGGCATGACGGCATTCTATGCCTTCACGTCATCCTTCCGGTGTGCCTCTTCCTCCACTATTTCTTTCACCATTGTCTCCTGCATGGATATGCCCATGAGTAAAGATGGCAACGGGTAATTCCCCGTCATGGAATGCCTCTCCATCCCTGTCCCTGCGGGGAGAAAAAATCCCCGTCACCGTCCCCGCCAAAGCTCACGGGGACACTTTCTCCTCCATCCCTGTCCCCGCGTGTGGAAAATTCCCCATCGGGATCCCCATCCCGGCATAAACATTAGTTTATCGCCATTCATGATCGGTCAATTCATCACCATTTACATAAGGTCATCAATACAACATTAGAGTACAGCACGGATCACAATCTAGAAATTGCTAAATAGCAAGAAGCAGCACATTAATGAGCATGAACGGCTCAATCTATTGTGTGGTCAAAGAAGATCTTGAGAAGTGACGTGAAGGAAAAATCCATGGCGCTGGTGACAAGTAAGTCTTGATCTGAAGCTCTAGTGCCTACCTGCTTCAAGAAACCACCGCTGGCCTAGGGGACCCACGCTTCACGCATTGCTGCCTGTAGGGTGCCGCGCGCTGTTGCCGTTAGGGAGCCACACGTGATGCTCCTCTGCTGCCGATGGGGAGCCAGACGTGGATGCGCCGCCGCTGTTGGAGGGTCGCGCGGGTGCTCCCATGGGGCCACCTTGTGGACTGCAGTAGCGCGCGGGGTGTGGTGCATGCAGCATGCGGCTAAGCAATGTGGCGGCGGCGGGCGAGACACGGAGAGGAGAGGGATGAGGACTAGGGGGTAGTTAAGTTTTCTGCTGCTTATATATGTATGTTCGACTTGGGCTTTGATGGGCTGAGTAAACACGCTGTACAGGCTTTGAGAAACGGGGACGCGGGGAAACCGGGACGGGGGACAGTCTACCATACCCGGCCCCATTAGACCCGACGGGGGAAGATTTTTCCCCGTGTAATCTCCCGTGGGGATGATTTTAGTCCCAACCCGTCCCCTAATAGCGGAATTTCCAGCGGGGAATCAGGAATCGGTCCCGTTGCCATCTTTACCCACAAGCTATGGAATGAGTGTCCTAGTAAGCATTCTCAAAATTTGGAGCAACTTTGTTCCTTTGATTGGACAGCCTCGCCCGAGCACTTGGAGAATCGTCTCGCCCTCGTCGGCAGCCTTCTTCCTCAACACCTTCGCTGGCCTAGCCCTTGCTCCTCTTCTTTCTCGTGCTCCTCACACGTGCGTGTAGTGCTCATCTCACTTGGGACAACTCCATTCGTGAAATTTCTAGGGATGAGTTGAACCCTCATCTACGGGGTATATTGTCTAGTAGGATGGATATGTCTATGACTGTCTTCAAACCAAACACCATGCAAAGGTGGAACATCCATCATCCTGTCCCTATAACAAAACACTACCTAACACTAAAGACTAGATCTATCGGAGGTGGACTGCATATGGTGAATATACTAGAAATAGTGCCTAACTAAAATTCCCTCAATTCCCAATTATAAGATATTTTGGTTTTTCTAGACATATTACTTTTACTATATTTCTAGACAGTAGTGTATATCTAAATGTATAGAAAAACTATAAATTTATAAATGCCAAAATATATTATAATTTGGAATGGATGGAGTATAATTCAAAGACACTTTTGCCGAGTTAAAGGTCGTGCCAATCTAGAAAGCAATGGCTAAATTGTTTTTTTTTTTTTGCTTGGATTCACATATATTCGAATATTCCGACCACAAATCTATATCTATCTATCATCATATGGCACTATAAAAGAGTGAGTTTTTTGAGGGACCTCTCCCTCTATAATAACCGTTCGATCTAGACGTTATGCTATATGAGCCCTTCGTCGTCCGTGATCTTACATGTAAGATGTAAGACTCCTAGCGCGATACGTTAAGGATGACGGAGATCGGGTAAAAATCTGTTTCCGAATCCAACCGAAACCAACCGAAAATCGGATGCAAGACAGACGTTGAAAAAAAACTAATGCAGACAACTATAAAAGAGCGAGTTTTTTGAGAGGCTCTCTATATGTAATAACCGTTTGATCTAGACATCGTACTATATGATCCATCCGTCGTCCGTGATCTTAAATATAAGATGTAAGACTCCTAACGCGATACGTTAAGGATGATGGAGATCGGGTTAAAAACTGTTTCAGAATCCAACCGAAAATCGGATGCAAGACGGACGTGGAAAAAAAAACTAACGCAGACGTTACAGACAAATCCGGATGGAACACCAAACGGTAAAGAAAAGATTCGGATTGGTTCATGAGTCCTCGTCCGTCACGTATGCCATACGTGTCCTTAAAAGATTTTAAAGCTGATATTTGCCTTGCCGGTTGCCAGCTTTCTTCGTTTTCCTGTCTTCTGTGCTCTTTGCTTAGCCGGAGTTTTTTTTACGGTAATCCTTGGATTATTGTGCTGGCTTTTATTGTATTTGGTTTCAACTCTGATTCTTCTTAATAAATTACGTGTCCGAAGGAGTAAATTAATAAAAATTTCTAATTAATTTGTATTACTAAATAATTTGGTAATTATTATTTCTATTACTAATTAATGTATTGATTTTATTTAGGAGTAAATTATTATTCTTATGACATGATTTAGCTGATGGCCTAACTAATCAAATCACAAACTACAACTTTAAGCATTTTGTCATCCAATCTAACCAAAACAAATGTTCATCTAAGTTGCCCACACATACTAATGCGAATCTCTAAGCTATCCGTGTATACCAGTGTAACTTTCGATCAGGCCTAAATTAGCCAATGGCCTAACTAATCAAATCATAAACTACAACCTTGAGCATTTTGTCATCCAATCTAACCAAAACAAATGTTCATCTAAGTTGCCCGCACATATCAATGCGAATCTCTAAGCTATCCGCATATACTGGTGCAACTTTCAATCAGGCCTGATGTATAGGTTGTATTTTAATTCAAACATAATTCAAAAGACATTGTCATATTAATATGAATATTAACTTATATTATGGATCATCATAAAATAAAGCATAGCTTTTTAATTTCTATAGAAAGATAAAAATCAGAAAATAAATAAATATGTAACATTGTCATCCTTATTTTTATTAACAAGTCTGTTTTTTGTGATTGCTGCATCAACCACCCACAATATAAAAAGTAGCACATATACGAATTAAACTGTCACGGGCGCTGCAGTTGTGCAACAAGATGAAACGAATAGGTCAACGTTTGATAACTTTTTTCTCCCGTTACAACGCACGGGCATGTTTGCTAGTACTATAAAAGAGCGAACAAATTGAAAAATTTTCATCATGCTAATGCCTCTTATCCATCCCTTATTGTGTCCATAAGATGTGTTTTGAGCAAACGGTCGAACTGAAAAAACTTCCTTCTCCCTAATGGCTTCTATAATTCTATCTGCCCCTTTATTTTGTCTTTAGGATGTATTTTGTAATTACAATCTAACTCCAAACATTCCGACAAATGGATCAGGCACGGCCAAGTCGGAAACTCGTCCGGACAAGCAGCCAAGCATGGTTTTTTTCACCGGCGATTTCCTTTACCCGCTTTGGCTACTGTTGCTGTCGCTGGATGACCTGTTCCGGACGCTGGCCACACCTCTCGGTCTCGGGTCTGCACGCCTACACGTTGGTGGAGCTCAAGGCCGTCAGGAGGGGACGCAGGGCATCTCCATCAGCCACTTCATCGACAGATTGGGCCGGTTCGGCCCCGTGTACAAAGGACTTCCTCGATGAGCATCGAGCGGCTCCGCCTCGAGGAGCTCGCCCCGCGCGTCACCGTCATTCCGTCAAGTACCTTGACGCCTAGTAGCTGTAAAATACTAAAATAGTAACATGAAGCCTAAGGAGTAAGGAAGTTCTACATTGTTCTTTTTTATATATAACCATGATGATCCCAAAGTTCAGCCGCTGTGAAGCTTAGTTGATTTATTAATTAATATGACAATGATAACCTGCCCTGCAAGGTCTATATGTCCAGATCTTTGTGTATTTACTGCTTGTGCATGTAAATTTTATGAACGGCCAATTTTGATTTGGCCAAAGTATTCTTCGATGCAAAAAAAAAAGAAGAAACGGCTGTTGTTTAAAGTTGGTTTTATTCTGGGTAGTAAATATAGAAGCGTCAATCAAGTATAATATAGTAGTCTCAGTTACTCAGTCGATTAGCCAATCAGCAACTTAGATGGTCCTCGGAGATATATGTTTTGTTTCCATGAGCAATGTGCAAGGATCCAAAATTAAGCTGAGGTCTACCGGGATCTAGGTGAAACCAGTATATCTAAGTTTTTGAGTTGTATATGTAATGATGAATAGGTGCATCATATATTAGATTAGTCCGATAAAGAACACTAGGCATTTTGTTTTCAAAATAAATTTGGTGGATTAAGGGATGGTAGTTGCTACTATACCATTATAGTCGGCCCTATTCACTTATGCTGAAATTGGGTTTATGCTGATGCTTATGCTGAAATGTTGTGAGAGAAAAACACTGTTCCATAACTGAAAGGTAGCTCAAGCGAACAGGGCAATATCATTTTTTCATATATATTTACCTTTTCAATCAATATAATATACGTATGCAATTTAATTAGTTCTTAATACCCGATTATTACATGTGAATGTATTATTTACAAGTTACGACTTTTTAACATTGGTTAATTTAATTTGCTTTCTTATTGATTGCATACAGACTCTCTCAAACAAAAATATAATATTTTAAGAAAACGATCATGATGTATAATTAGCAAAATAATTTAGAAATCACATCTTACTTAAGCATCAACAATCTTAAAGCTTTTTTACTGATACTATTATATTGCCCATGCAAACACCACGTCGGTATTTCAGGGATGTACATGTGTCAAGAACACATCTAAACTACAGGGATGCAACTATTTCAGCCCTGAACATAATCTCCCAGCTAGCCTTGATCATATTATCATAAACTAATGTGTGACATACTTATGGCTACCGGTAACCTGAACAAGAGAAATTAACCGACCCCACTAAATGGCGAACCCTCACTACAAAGGAATTAAGCGAACAATTTTCAGACATATCTTTTTTGAAAAAAAAAATCCCACCTCTTTCTTTTATGGCAGCCACTCAACCACACCATCCACCCAACTGCGCGCGCAGCACCTATACCGCGCCTCCCCCTCCTGTGCGCTTTTTTCAAGAAGTGATGACCTCATCGGAAAAAAGAGAAACATTTATTTCAAAATGCTTTAACTTTTGAATAGTATATCTATTTTTTATTCCATGTGCACCGATATGTTCAACGTTACGAGGTAAACAAAACTAGACCCTACTTATATATGTTTAGAAAAAAAATCTAGTACCAATTTATGTATATTACTTATAACATGTAACTTATACTATAAAACTTATACCATATAACTTATAACATATAACTTATCATAAAATTGGAAACACAAAAGTTATAAAATAAAACTTATATACAAAAGTTATAAAAACAAAGGAATGATTAACTTATAACTTGTAAAAAAACTTGAAAACACAAAATGAACGAATTAACTTATAACTCATGTTAAAACATGGAAACACAAAAGTTACGTAACACAACTTATATAAAAAAGTTATCAAACATAACTTGTGTAAATAAGTTATACTATACAACTTGTGTACATAAGTTATATAGTATAACTTTGTGTGCAGAAGTTGTAAGTTATATATTATAAGTTAATACATATAAATTGCTATTAGAAAAAAAATTGTTCAAAACATATTTAAGTGGGGTCTAGTTTTATTCGCCTCATCGCATAAAACACACCGGGCAAACCGAATTTAACACGGACACACCGTTCATAAGTTATAGTAATTTAAAATAAATATTTTGTTTTTTTCACCTATGTCAACTCTGACATCACAGCATGGCAAAGGAACCAATCAGGCTGCCAATCCCCTACAACCACCTCTCGTGACGTCACTATTATCTCGTCCAGCGCGTCGTCCATGCCGCACAGGGAGTAGTGCCGCACCAGTTGGGACGCTGTTGACCGTTCGCTAGATTCCCAGTGAACATTCACGGGATTGGATTTGGGGAAACCAACCACGTGATCCTATATGCACATTTTGTAAAAGCAATCTGAAAATGGTATAGGCCATCAATCTGTGCAAAGATTTGCCGCGGCCTAGTTTGGTGCTTTTTTTAAGAGTTTCCAGGAGTTTTTTTTCGGCCTTCGAAAAGTCGAGCCAGCTGGGAGTGGTTGTAAACATTTATCTGTTTTTTCTCTTTTTTCGCATCTAACAAAAATTGCTCTTTTGCTGTTCTTTTTGAAAAAAATAAGAATTTGCTAAATTTTAGGTGTCTGAATTTTAGTTTTCTTTCGTGTGATGGTTATTGAATATATTTTTATGTTAAAATTATAGTTTTAATCAGGGACGGATTCACATGGAGCTGGTGGGGCTTTAACCCCCTTTGGGCCAAATATTCTACTATCAGGTCTTCACAAACAGCCCAAAAGTTTCCTTCTGCAGCCCACCATGCACCAGCTTTTCGTAATTAGTTAGTGCTTAAGTTGACTAAATTGATATGGTTAGCAAAGTAGCATAATTTTTTATATAAATTGGTAGGTTCAAGATATAATTGAAGATTTTATTTCGAGGAATACCTGGAAGATGATAACATATTAAGATGAGATTAAGGTTTTTTGTATCAGTTCTAGCCTTCTATTATTTAGCCCCTCTCTGTTTCTGGATCCACGACTGGTTTTAGTTTGTTACAATTTCTATAGATACAATCTGTATTTTTCTATTCTAAGAATAAAAACCTATTAGACAACACTACAAACTGACAAAATCTAATATGTGTTGGCACAAAGTCGATTTAATAATTTACAATTATTTACATAGTCAGACAAAGAAAAAAATTGTTAATTATGACACAAAGACAAATAAAAATCATAAAAGTGACAATTTGCTTGTACTAGTTGGAGTAGAGAGAGTGTTGCCTAAATTATCTTAAAATTCAGCCTCCTGAAATATAAGAGAAGTGAAAAAATAAAGGATAATAGCATTGTACCAGTCCAAATAATGAAATTGTATAACAATTATCACACAGACAAACTTCGTATGATCACATACACTTAAAAATGCAAACTAGTAACTGTGAAGTCAAATGCAAGAAACTAGGAACGCGATACAGCAACTAGGACAAAGTACACGCGACAGTCAATTTGGAGCATCATCAACGCAAGCCGCAACGGCTGGGGACAAAGGCAACCTTGCCACCGCGCACGTCGTAGACGATTTCCTTGGTCCGCTGCACCTGGGTTCCAATGAAGTTCCTGGGGAAATTCTCGTCGGGTGCTGCCGCGAACGCGAGGCACCCGAAGGGGAAGCCGTCGATGAGGTGCTCGCGGAAGAAGTACATGAACTGCCTGTCGTCGAGGTCCATGGTCTCGCCGTTCCCGAACCTGAAAGTGATGTTCGGGAGGTAGATGTACTCGGTCAAGGTGAAGTTGTAGCACGTGTCAAGATCGCTGAACGCAGGCGCCGGTGGGTACTGCGCCATCGCCTTCCTGAACTCTTCGCGGAGAGCAGCGTAGATGGGCTTGTTCAGGTAGGTGAACGCCGACTGCGAGTCGATCATCGTCCCGTTGCCCCTGAACAAGGCTGGCGGGAACGGAAGAAGGTCCTTGCCGTTGATGGCGATGGCAACGAGGTCGACGTAGTAGAAGTTGGGCCCAGTCGGGTTGGTCACCAGCGGCACGTACTTGACGCTGGCGTGGCCGGAGTAGTCAGACAGAGCTGGAGCAATGGTGAGGAAGCCGTGGGTGTCGGTTGTCCGCCGGGAGGCAGTACGAGAACACCGCCGTGCCGGGGGGTGAGGAGTTCAGCACACGGGACGCCAGCGAGTGGCGACTGAGGCTGAGGTCGATGTTCCCAACGGCCACGTCGTCGGTGAACAAGTCGTTGTCGAGCTGCAAGCAGACGACGGGCGAAGTTGTCGAAGGTTGCCGACGGCGAGAGCGTGAGGGTGTCCATCACGACGGTGCCGTTACCGAACACGAAAGTCGAGTTCTGGAACGTGATAGTGCACGATCCACCAGTAGATCACGAGTACCCACAGTCCGGCGAGCCGCACGGCACGCTGCGGAACGAGGACGACTTGGAAGGGTCGAACCCCACGTCGCACGGCTCCCCTCGGGACGACCGAGAGAAGCACGGCTTGCACCGAATGTCGGACAGGCCGCTGACGTCAAAAAAGGGGGGGAGCTGCTGCGCTGGAGTGCCGTAACCAGCGAGGACCGTGTACTCGAACAATCCGGGGAAGCTGGCGACGACGTTCTGTGTGGCGGGGACGGACAGGCCTGATGCTGTCGTGTCTGCTGCAAGGTTTTAAATCTCTGGCTAAGTCTCTTAGCGATTGAAGTCTGCAAACACTACGAGCAGCTATAGCGGGCTATAGCTCCAACTAATTTGTTTAGCGGTTTTGAAAAAACGAGATAAAAATCATTGATCATTTCACATATTCATCAGTCATCGCTCATCAGTTCACAAGAACAGAGCTCCAGGACCATCACAAGATGTTTGGCATAACATATACAATGCTCATCATCAGTTCAAGCACAAATGCAATGATGAAACATTATCAGATCAATCAGCACGGTGGGTGCCAAGCTCAAAGCGCTCAGAACTACGGGTCATCCGCTGACAATTGGATGAGTCCGCTTGACTTTTGCCCATCAAAGCACTTAGTGGCCGCAAAAGGAGGCTTATTAGCGGCTATAGCGAATCTAAATACAGCTATTAGCGGCAGCTAACTCATAGTGGCAAAAGTGAATTATCCTAGCGGCTTGTCTTCCTAGCAGCTATCTCCGGCTATAGCGCGGCAGCTATAGCCGGAGATTTAAAACCTTGGTCTGCTGACGGTGACGGGGCCGGTGCAGCGGCAGCCGTAGACTGTCGTGGTTAAGGATCTCATGCAGCGATGGCTTGCCATGCTTCCGAGCGCCGCCGCCGGTGAGGGGAGAGCATGCACTACCGGAGACCGGCTCTTTGCCGAGTGCCAAGTGGTTTGCCGAGTGTTGTTTTTCGGGCACTCGGCAAAGACGCCTTTGCCGAGTGTTTTTTTTATACTTGGCAAAGAAGCTTCTTTGCTGAGTGTTTTTTTTGACACTCGACAAAGAAGCTCTTTGCCGAGTGTTTTTTTTTACACTCGGCAAAGAAAATTTCAAAGCACATTTTGAAGCAGTAAATTAATTCAAATGAAAAAGTTTTCAACTACAAAGTTGTATAACTCATCAAGATGTACAATGTTTGTTTTGGTCTTTTCTTCATATAATAAAGTGAAAGTAAATTTATTCACAAATCTAACATATCTCTCTTGTAGTTTATGAAACTACAAGAGAGATATATAAGATTTGTGAATAATATTAGAACGATCATGTCGGATGAATAGATGACTAAACAACCAAAATAAACTTTGTATATCTCGAAAAGTTATGAAACTTTGTAATTGGCAACTTTTTGATTTGAAATCATCTTGTCATGCAAAACTGTGTTTGAATTTCAAAAATTTAAAATTTGAACTTTTCAAACTACCTCGGATGGAAAAATAACCAAAATAAACTCTGTAGATCTCGAAAAGTTATGAAACATTGTAGTTGGCAACTTTTTGATTTAAAATCATCTTGTCATGCAAAACTGTGTTTGAATTTCAAAAATTTAAAATTTGAACTTTTCAAACGACCTTGGATGGAAAAACAACCAAAATAAACTCTGTAGATCTCGAAAAGTTATGAAACATTATAGTTGGCAACTTTTTGATTTGAAATCATCTTGTCATGCAAAACTGCGTTTGAATTTCAAAATTTTGAAATTCAAATTTTATAAATGACCTCGGATGAAAAAACTTCCTAAAGTAAAAGTGTAGATCTCGAAAAGTTATGAAACTTTATAATTTACAACTTTTTTATTTGAATTCGTTGAGTGCCTCAAACAAGCAATTTACACTCGGTTTAGTATAATACGTTGGGAACTAAAACGGAATCCAAACATAAGCGACAGTGTGGTGTAGTGGTAGTGAAGGTTCCCACGCAGGGGAGGTCGTGGGTTCGAATCCTGTCGGCCGCGTTGCTGCGAAATTTACACGAAAAATGCCGAAGATGGGCGGGCGCTGGCCGGTGGGGCCTCTACCGATTAAAAAAACCCATTTTTTCCCTTTTTTTTTCCATTTTTTCGGGTTTTTTTTTCGGTTCTAACTTTGCCGAGTGTTACCTAGTGCCCGACAAAAAACACTCGACAAAGACACTTTTACCTACCCATGTTTTACCGAATGTCCTTTACCGAGTGCAGCACTCGGCAAACCCTAAAGCCACTGAGTCCGGTATATGGGCTCAGCCGGTGTACGACTGGCAGCTTGTTGCCGTTGCTATGTCCAGCAAAAGTATCAGAAAGTGGTAAAATATGCGTCAGCGTCGTGCGGTGTGGAGTTGGTCACGTTCACGTGCATCCAAGTGCGACCAAGTAGATAAATTATACAGCGCGTTGCACCTGAAGTGATCGACGGGCAACTTGTCGTCGACGGCGAGGCATCCGAATCGTCAGACCATCGGAGGACGCGGCTTGACCCATGAGCGTGACTGACGACAAGGCATAGAAGCACAAGTGTCAGATGCATGGTTGAAGCCATGGTGAGGAAGAGGATAGATGACCAGTACTACATAGCACAGCTAATCCAGCTAGTCTTCCAACAACTTGCACACACTACTGCTTGTAAGATCAGCCTTCTTATATAGACATGGCAACGTTGTCATTTGCTTCTTGTCCTGTCCATTTGTAACGAAAAAGTTTACAAACAAATGGTTCATGTAAAGTACGCGTTTGATTGTTTGCACTTGAAATGATTATTCGTCTATATGATTCCGTGCTCAGACAAATTAATGCCTGCACAGCTACTGGATCAACGAAAACTGGCAGATCGACGGGATAATTTAACTGGTACAGGGGTACAGCTAGCTACCTGGTGATAACAGATATAGAGTACTTACCAAGAATAAACTCTGCGATATGCTTCCAGTCAGCTAGTTTCGTGTTTAGATGGGAACTTCGATGGAGCGAAGAACATCGCCGCGCCGGCAATCTGTACCAAATCATGAACGCTCGTATTTGTGCCAATCGAGAATCTATAGTTTCTGCATCTACTCGATTAATTTGAAGCAACTGTTTTGTTGATTCCGTTTGAATACTGCCAGTGCTTAATTACAAAATGGCCAATTGGGTTAATAAACTATCAAATGGCTCATTTTTTTTGTGGATCAATGATAAGAGCAACTCCAATCAGGGCCCTACTTTTGACTTGGTGCCCCCTCTTATTTTCGTTGGCCCAATTTTTTGCTTTCACTCCAACACGGCACCTAAATTTGGACCCTCAAATTCATTCATGTAGACAATGCCAAATGGGGCCCACTTGTCATCCTCAACGTTCTACCATCTGAGCTATCTTCCTCAATGCAGAGAGGAGCGCCTCGCTCGTACTATCGTGCCTCAATTATCGTAGTGGCAGCCGCAGGGAGGTCGCTCATCCTAGCGGCGGCCACGGAGAGGAAGCCGGCAGATCCTCGTCTAGCCTACCACTGGCAGATATGTCGACGGATCCTCGTCCTACCGCGGGGATGGAGCCTAGGACTAGCAAGGCTCTCATGACCGGAGGAGAAGCGCGGGAGTGAGGGAGCCCATGACGAGCGGCGACTGTTGGGAGAGAGGAGTCGCGTGCTGCGCGTGGGAGGGAGTCCACACGTGGGGGCCAAAGGAGTCACTGTGGGGAGAGGCTTGGCTAGAGGGAGCTGCGACGAGTGGAGGCTAGATTGAGCAGGTTCACACATCCTACCAGTGGAGGCGGACGGCCGGGGAGGACGCGCCGCTAGGGAGCAGATTGAGCGACCGAGGAGCAGATCGAGCGGCTGAAATAGCAGATCGAGCGAGGGCTCGCAGAGAAGCGGTGCGGGCAATGAGAGGTAGGGAGCTTGGTGCGAGGAAAATGGATGGAGCCCCAGGAATGGGTGCCGGAGGGAGGATTTTGGTGCCCACCAAATTTCACGGCTCAAGTAGGGGTTCAGCTGGAGTATAGTTTTTAGTCTAGGCACCCATATTTAGCTATGGGGGATCATGTAGCATGTAGGGACCCTGATGGAGTTGCTCTAAAGATAATCACATGTACTTATCATTTGCCGCATTGGTAGTTGATGATCCAAAAGAAAGAATTTGGGAATTAGGTACCCATTGTTTATAAGACACTTAAAGCTAGCTTCTTTGGATAAAATGAGTTAGGACACATAAGCCTAGGTGAACAGTTGCTGAGATTATTTTTTGAAACTTCTTGCATTAGATTCCCATCCTTGGGCTTGTTTGTATTTTAGGATTTTCATAGGAATTTCGAAGGAATCCAATTCCTATGTTTTGCTTACATCACATGATGTTTTGGAACTGAACATCAAGGAATGCAATCATCTTCGATAATGGCTAGAGAGATATCAATGCATGGAAGAGGCAATTCAAAGAATAACTTGGTCAAGTTTGTACTAAGGCCAAGCCAAGTAGACATGCGTCCCTCATTTCTTGGAGATATAGCTTCATTTTATAGTTTTCCCTTTCTTTTTTAGGCTTGGTAGCCTTGTGATCCTTTTTGTTCTATACTTTGTAAATATCATTCTTTTATTTAATGAAAAAAGAAAAAAATATAGGTAGGAGGCTCCCCTGCTGATTCGGTAAAAAAAAGGTTTGCTTTCCTATGACAAGGCTTGCTTTCCTTCATAAAATGGAGGAAATAAAACATCCATTTCAAGCTATTCGAAAAATTTCCTACATGTGAATGGAGGGATGAGCAAGTCCTTATTCACTAGAGGAATAAACATGTTCTTATATTCCTGTGTTTCAAACACCGATTCCTATAAAATTCGTGTATTTTCAATCCTCGGTTTTCTACGTGCAATAATTTTCTATTCATATGTGCTTTCTTACTTTCCTCTATTTTGCATTCCTCCGTTCCAAACAAGACATTGTCGCATGAGGTTCTGATCGGGAACAACAGCAAGGAAGGTGTTCTGAATTTTCAAATGCACTGATCAAGTTTCCAAATGCAACATCCGTCAAAGCATTTGGGCATATATAAGGAGTTCAGGGTAGATGTGTTGTCCAACATTTGCGCTTGGTTACTTCATGGTGTTGTGTGTTGGACACGTGTTGTACGTAGAAGATGTGCCGTAAACTAATGACCCACTTCATGTCTCGTCGCTGAGTCAATGTTGTCGTAGATGGAGTGAACACGTTTTTCGGTGAATTTTGACTTTCTCTCCACTAGATTTTAGACGTTGGGAGGGTTTATGCGAGGTACTCGCTTTGCTCATCCGTTCTGCATCTTTATCTAGTGTGTCCAATAGCGTGATTGGTAATGTTTAATTTGCTACTAATGTAGGTTGGTTGATTTGTGTAAAAGTATAGCTAGGCATGCAAAACCGGAGGTGTTTTTGATGAACTTGGCCTAGGGGCGGAGGAGCTGAGCTTTGAGCTAGTGTTAGTGGATTCAAATCATCCAAAATTTAATTGGACATTTGTTGCATTGGATATCCTTGGATAAGGTTCATTTGGATTAAGATATTTATCCCTATATGATTTAAAAATGCCTAAAATCTAATGGGAGAAACTCAAAAAGTCCAATGCCCACAATAGACATTTTTGGATTGAGAGAGCATTCTCCAATATATATCTGGTTTAGGTTCCTAATATGGGTCCCACATATTAACCTTAGCCCACTAGCTAGGCATGCAAAACAGGAGGTTGTTGTACTAAGTCATTTTTCAAACAAATTAAAGTTAATTCTGCTAAATTTTTTTGGTATAAACACCAACTTTCTAATCCATGGTCCTACTTGAGATCTTAGGATTTTGGACCGTATATACCAAGTGCTAGTACTACATATACTTATTACAATTACAATCCTATGAAGGGTCCCCTTCATTTTGGAGCGCCTAGAGAGGCTTCCCTGCTGGCCACCCTGGGGCTGGCCCTACAATGATGCATTATATCATCATGCCATATGGCCATTTCGAGGATAGGGTTTGAATTTCATGGAGCAGACTCATCATCCTTCTTCCAAGGGACATAGCTTTATGCTAGTGGCTACGGGCCTATTTGGTTTCCACCCTGGGAAACGCGCCTAGGCCAGGCACCAATGCCAGGTGTTTGACAATCAGATACGTACAGTTGCCAACCGTCACCAGGCGAGGGTGGCATCAAACATGCTCTATATATTAGTTTACAAAGTGGATCAAAGTTATGCCTTTTAACAACATAATACATAAGGAAGTAGTTGAATTTATTACTGAGCATATTATTCACAGATTCGTCATACCTCAAACTTTAACTATGGATCAAGGTGCTTCTTTTGTGTCAACAGAGGTTCATGAATTTGTTGAATCTTATAAAATAAAATTCCTCAATTCTTCCCCATTTATGCTCAGGCCAATTGTCAAGCCGAGTCTAGTAACAAGATCTTAATCAAACTTGTGAAAAATAAGTATGAGGATAATAATCCAAAAAAATGACACAAGGTTCTGTTTGATGCTTTATGGACTCATCGCATATCTAGACATGGTGTTACCAAGGTTACTCCCTTCAAGCTGGTTTATTGATATGAGGTGGTGTTGCCAGCTGAGATAAAGTACTAAAGTTAGATGCATACATATTGGCTAAATAGAATGACTTGTCTGATGTTATTTACCACGAGTTGATGATAGACAATGTCAACGAGGTGACCGACAAGAGGATGAAAGCTTTGAAGGACAAAACTTGTGTTGCCAAGGCTTACAACAGGAAGGTGATAAATAAATCGTGTTCCTGAAAAAAAAAGCTAGCCAGGATTCCGCAGGACCACTATTTTTCGTCCTTGTCAACTTTATTTAAGCAATCCAGCTACCTTGCACGAGTTCCCTGTCCAAGCACGGATGCGAAGCACCACAAGTTGTCACCATGTGGGATGTGATCATTATCATATCCAATCCCGTGTAATTACGACGATGATGACTGAGAACTAACAATGCAATATATATAAGTGCCTGGAACTGTGAAGTGTAAGATACATCAATAGAGCTGGTAGTCTCAGATCCCCAAGCATCCTGATCCTACACTAGCTACTCGTAGGGTGTACGTGTGCAACCTTCGGAAACGAGATGAAATCAAGCTCCGTCCAAACTCACATGGCCGACGAGTCGTCTACCCACGACATGAAGCTGCTGATGCCACCACTTCCACATGGCGCCTGCGGTAGCACCAAGGCACCTGCCCCGTTGGTCGACAAAACCCTGTGCTGCGCCTGCGACATCATCAAGCTCCTGCCGACCGGCACTGTCATGGCCTTCCATGCACTGGCGCCGTCCTTCAGCAACCACGGCGTGTGCGGCACTGCAATGTTTGAATAAGTCCTTGAGCATCTAATTGTAGAAGGTAGAGGCGCCTAACGCCATTAGAGGCAGGCCACAGATTGCGGCATGGCCCAGGTGGTTGGGATGGCAACCACTGATCACGAGTATGCCGGGATTAGCAGGTCCTTTCATTTCCTTGTAACACAGCATGTAATTCCTTTATATAGTGTATGCAATCAATGGAAAAGCTGCCGCTTTGCAGCCCAAATCACTG